AGAAATTATCATTACAAAAAATCTTAACTTTTTTTTCAAGTAGTCATTGAACCATGAAAATGAGGTCAATGATAGTGGACATATGACAGACGGAAACTTCATATCATAAGGCATTTATATACAACGTATGAAGCATCCAGGTCTTCTACCTTCTGAAATATTAAGCTTTTAAGAAGTTAGTTAACACCGCCGCCGCCGGATCACTATCCCTATGTCGAGCTTTGTGCAACAAAAGTCGCAGGCTCGACAAAAATGTAAACACAAATAGTGTAAATAGTGGAAGTAATTACTTTTGGAGTGTCAAGAACTCATTGGAAGTACTTGATAAATTGCATGCATATATTGGTGATTTTGAATCTGTTCAAAGTTTTGATTTTTCTACCCTATATACCACATTGCCTCATATTCTCATTAAGAAAAAATTCACACACCTAATTAAATGGGCATTTAAAAAGTCAGAATGTGAATATATATGTTCAAACTCTTTTAGGTCATTTTTTAGTAGCAATAAACAAAAAAACTATGTCAATTGGACATGCTTTGATACTATATATGCCCTTGAATTTTTACTAGATAACATTTTTGTTCGCTTTGGAGATTCCGTATATCGTCAGGTTATCGGAATTCCAATGGGGACTAACTGTGCACCACTTATTGCGGACCTTTTTTTGTATTGCTATGAGTTACAATTTATGACAAAAATCAGCAAAGACCCATCGAAACAACATCTGATACACAAATTTAATAATACTTTTAGATATTTGGATGATATTTTGGCTCTCAATAATGACGACTTCAGTATGTATACTAAAGAAATTTATCCTGTTGAACTTACTTTAAATAAAGCTAATACTAACAATGACCACTGCCCTTTCCTCGATCTTGATATCTATATCATTAACGGAAAGCTTAATACTAAAATATATGATAAAAGAGATGATTTTTCATTTCCTGTCGTTAATTATCCATTTTTAGATGGTGATGTTCCCTTGTCCCCATCTTACGGTGTTTATATATCTCAACTTGTACGATTCGCTCGTGTATGTAACAATGTTTTAGATTTTAACGAGAAAAATTTATGTATTACTGAAAAATTATTACACCAGGGTTTTCGATATCACAAACTAGTCAAAACATTTACTAAATTTTATCATCGGTATAAGGACATCATTCGTAAATATAGCTCAACATGCAGACTTCTTATACGTTCAGGTATTTCACATCCATTTTTTTATGGAAATATTCTTTATAAAGCACAAAAATGTCAGTATTCACCTCTGAAGCTAACAAAACCTTTAAATAGACTTATTAAGAAGGGATATAGTTAAGATACTGTTGTCAGGTCATTAAAGATTGCATATTTTGGCGTTAATATTGATTCACTTATAGGGTCTTTGCATCGGCACTAAACACATTTATTTAACAAGAGTGCACACGCTGAAATGTCTCGCCTTCTTTACTAATCATTGATATTATGTTGATAGTCCTAAATATAAAGCTTTATTACAACTGTCACATAAACTTAACATTAACCAAGTAACCTTAACATCGACCAATGAACCATGCTAGGTAGGCATGTACAGCTAACAATTCTTCCATACAACAAATATAGTTGACCTATTGCTTATAGTTTAAGAAAAACAGACCAAAACACAAAAACTTAACACTGAGCAATGAACCTTGAAAATGAGGTCAAGGTCAAATAAAACCTGCGTGACTGCCAAATAGATCATAAAATATTTCCATACACCAAATATAGTTGAACTATTGCATATAGTATTAGAAAAAAAGACCAAAACTCAAAAAACTTAACTTTGACCACTGAACCATGAAAATGAGGTCAAGGTCAGATGACACCTGCCCGCTAGACATGTACACCTTACAATCATTCCATACAACAAATATAGTAGACCTATGGCATACAGTATAAGAAAAACAGACCAAAACACAAAAACTTAACTATAACCACTGAACCATGAAAATGAGGTCAAGGTCAGATGATACCTGCCAGTTGGACATGTACACCTTACAGTCCTTCCATACACCAAATATACTAGACCTATTGCTTATAGTATCTGAGATATGGACTTGACCACCAAAACTTAACCTTGTTCACTGATACATGAAATGAGGTCGAGGTCAAGTGAAAACTGTCTGACGGGCATGAGGACCTTGCAAGGTACGCACATACCAAATATAGTTATCCTATTACTTATAATAAGAGAGAATCTAACATTACAAAAAATCTGAACTTTTTTTTCAAGTAGTCACTGAACCATGAAAATGAGGTCAAGGACATTGGACATGTGACTGACGGAAACTTCGTAACATGAGGCATCCATAAACAAAGTATGAAGCATCCAGACCTTCCACCTTCTAAAATATAAAGCTTTTAAGTAGTTAGCTAACGCCGCGTCCGCCGTAGCCGCCGCCGCCGCCGGATCACTATCCCTATGTCGAGCTTTCTGCGACAAAAGTCGCAGGCTCGACAAAAACCAGTTGTTGGCATGACACGGGTTATGTTCTTCTCATATATGTTATGATGGTATGATACTAAACCCCTAACGGGAAGGATTGTGCCTGATATTCATATGATGAAGACATAATCTTTCAATCAGTTTAATTGAAGTCTGGAGCTGGCATGTCAGTTAACTGCTAGTAGTCTGTTGTTATTTATGTATTATTGTCATTTTGTTTATTTTCTTTGGTTACATCTTCTGACATCAGACTCGGACTTTTCTTGAACTGAATTTTAATGTGCGTATTGTTATGCGTTTACTTTTCTACATTGGCTAGAGGTATAGGGGGAGGGTTGAGATCTCATAAACATGTTTAACCCCGCCGCATTTTTGCGCCTGTCCCAAGTCAGGAGCCTCTAGCCTTTGTTAGTCTTGTATTATTTTTAATTTTAGTTTCTTGTGTACAATTTGGAGTTTAGCATGGCTTTCATTATCACTGAACTAGTATATATATGTGTTTAGGGGCCAGCTGAAGGACGCCTCCGGGTGCGGGAATTTCTCGCTGCATTGAAGACCTGTTGGTGACCTTCTGCTGTTGTCTGTTCTATGGTCGGGTTGTTGTCTCTTTGACACATTCCCCATTTCCATTCTCAATTTTACAACAATTGTTTGATTAATGATAACAGTAGCATACATCATGTACATGTACAACTAAAACATTTTATAAGGATGTCAAATCTATGTTTAGGAATGTGATTTTGAAAGGCAAAAAATGACAAATAAGACAAAAGAAATCTTTACATATGTTAATCTTTTTAATGAAATTAGAACAATTCTAACACATAAGATCACTTGCATACGATTTAAACATTATAAATGAAAAGACACAGAAATATCAGAACATTAAAATGTTATCCATGATTTTGTTAAATCCTATATAACAGATGAGTAATTCTAAATACATTTGTATGGCACATTAACATCTAAGTAGCACTGATCATAAATGAAAAGTTGGAAATACATGTGTTAAAATTTTTGCAAAAACACATGGGCAAATAGATTAATCTAATGTTTGTCAATAAAATTGGAAATGGAAACTGGAATGTGTCAAAGAGACCACAACCGGTGAAAATGAGCAGTAAACAGATTAAGGTCACCAATGGGTCTTCAACACAGCAAGAAAATACCACACCTTGAGGTGGGCTGCAGCTGGACCGTAAACAAACTAGAGGCTCTCAAGAGCCTGTGTCGCTCACCTGTATTTACTGATGCTTTGGAAATCATGTAAAATAAGGTTAAAATCATAATTAATAGTATTATATATTAGATATTATAATGATATCTAAGATAATAACAAAAAACTACAAAATTTTTGTAAAATTACTAACTCAGGGGCAGCAACCCAACAACAGGTCGTCGGATTTGTCTGAAAATTTCAGGGCAGATAAATCTAAATCTGATGAGCATTTTTGCCTCCTGTCAGATTTGCTCTAAATGCTTTAGTTTCAGAGATATAAACCAAAAACTGCATTTTACATAGGGCTATTTTTAACAAAGTTGGCCATGATGGTTGGAAGGCGGGGTCATCGGACAAATTTTTTAAACTAGATACCCTAGTAGTGATTATGGCCAAGTATGGTTAAATTTGTCTCAGTAGTTTCAGAGAAGAAGATTTTTGTAAAAGATTACAAAAATTTACGAAAAATTGTTAAAAATTGACTATAAAGGGCAATAACTCCTAAAGGGGTTAACTGACAATTTTGGTCATGACAACTTATTTGTAGATCTTACTTTGCTGAACATTATTGCTGTTTACAGTTTATCTCTATCTATAATAATATTCAAGATAATAACCAAAAACTGCAAAATTTCCTTAAAATTACCAATTCAGGGGCAGCAACCCAACAACAGGTTGTCAGATTTGTCTGAAAATTTCAGGGCAGATATATCTTGACCTGATAATAATGATTTTATCCTGTCAGATTTACTCAAAATGCTTTGGTTTCAGAGATATAAGCCAAAGTCTACATTTTACCCCTATGTTCTATTTTTAGCCATGGCAGCCATTTTGGTTGGTTGGCGGGGTCATCGGACACATTTTTTAAACTAGATACCCTAATGATGATTGTGGCCAAGTTTGGTTAAATTTGGTCCAGTGGTTTCAGAGGAGAAGATTTTTGTAAAAAGCTAACGACGACGGACGACGACGATGACGACGCCGACGGACGACGGACGACGGACGCCAAGTGATGAGAAAAGCTCACTTGACCCTTCGGGTCAGGTGAGCTAAAAAGTGTACTAGATCAGTGAAAAGTGGATAATTTCTATTTGGAGATATTTTCAGTTATAATCTTTGCATTGGTGCATAAAAACATGTCAGGATATTTTTTTGTTTTCATTATTCATCACCTTTGATTTTTTAGAAACTAAAGATTTTTCTACTCAGGGAATAGATTACCTTAGCTGTATTTGGCAAAACCTTTCAGAATTTCGGGTCTTCATTGCTCTTCAATTTCATACTTTATTTGACTTTTGTTTACTTTTTTTATTCAAGCGTAACTGATGACTCTTTTGTAGACAAAACGCACATCTGGGATAAAAAATTTTAACCCTGGTATCTATGATGAGTTAATTTGGAATTCTATATTCATTATACAACACGACGGGTGCCACATGTGGAGCAGGATCTGCTTACCCTTAAGGAGCACATGAGATCACCCCCAGTTTTTTGTGGGGTTCGTGTTGCTTAGTCTTTAGTTTTCTATGTTGTGTCATCTGTATTATTATTTGTCTATTTGTCTTTTTATTTGTGGCCATGGCGTTGTCAGTTTGTTTTCAATCTATGAGTTTGACTGTCCCTCTGGTATCTTTCGTCCCTCTTTTGTTCTTCTTATGAATTTCATAACTGTGCAAAATTAATTGCAATAGAATACATTATCATTCATTTTAAATCAAAATTCAATTTTTAAGGCAATTTGGACACACAGTAATTAAGAACTGTACATACAAAATCAGACAACTTATTCATTCAATAAGTTCCGAGTATTAAATTTGAATTATATCCTTGTCTTCATCTTTGTCAGCTTGATAAGTTCTCCATCAAAGAATCTGCATGCTTCAACTCTGATAAAAAAAATATTATAATTATATATAAATTATGGAGACAGCATCCTCACAACACAAATAACTTCAATATTTTTTTTTACAGGAATAATAATTTGAAATATATAATTCAATAATTATTAACATATCATTATATTTTTTTGCCTAGTTTAAAAGAAATTACCTGGATGTTTATGATTAACCAACCTAACTATATTTCATTGATTCGCTAGCTAATTCAATATAGTTTTACGGTCAAATTAAATCTTAAAAATTAAAATTATCCCCCTTACTTGCATTGTCTTTTTTTCAACATTTTTATTTTATCTACACCCATTTTAAACTAATATAATTTTATGATACATAAAATCCTGATTTTTGATGGGATTGATGAGGCTCAACCTTAAGTAATGTTTTTTTTTCTTTTTGCCACAGTGCTGTCTTGTCTTTCTTCAACATTTGGTAGTTGATTCCACCCTTGATAACTTCCCCTTTTCTGTCAAATATCATAAATATACATATCAATTGTATTAGTCAAAGTTAGTCAACTGTGCAGATATAAGATTCCAGTCAAATATCACTTCAGGTGAAGATTTCCATAGTGACTGATGATAAATTTATGTGATTTACTCTGAAATATCTGACTGTTAATGAAATATATCTAATACAATACATTTCTATAGATTGCTGACAATTCAGGTTCTTCACACATTAAATAGACAGTTAGAAAGTTGTATATTGTTGAAGATACAATTTTAGTTTGTTACCCTCTACATATCGTTTTGTTATTCTTGTGGTTGGGATGCTGTCTCATGACATAAAAAAAATAAGGAGATGTGGTATGATTGTCAATGAGACTATCCACCAATTAAAGTTCAAAAGAAGTGGATGCAAGCAATTATATGCAACCGTACAACCTTTAACGCACGATACACGATGAACGCACGGAATAATGGTCAGTCTGAATTTTAGAAGGTCTGTATGAGAAAAACCCATATCAAATAGTCAGCTATTAAATGCCCTGAAATATATATGTATCCATTTCCTTCTTCATGCACAAAGTGATTATGTTAAATCTATTTGTTTGTTGTAGAGTGAATCCTAGTAAAATAGGGTGATTGCTGGTGATTTAGAGTGAAAACACTATTTTTCAGGGTGAATATCAAGAATCAGTGGGAAAACAGATGACATGAGAATGATAGAAAAGTGACTCTCCTTACAATAAAGCAACAGAATCAATACTTTGTGTATATTGGGCACCATACTGATCAAAAGTTATTTCTACACCACAATCTTATATAATTTAAAATATACAGGCAATATACATGATATACAAAATCTTATTTTCATTATTCATCATGATGATTGCATTTGCCATGATTGCAGATTGTTTCACTGAATATAAAAAAAATAAATGTACTCTTTCCAGTCTGTCACCAATTTTTTTAGGAGGGTTCAAGATATAGTCCTAATCTTGATAAAATTTTCCACAATTATTTTTTTTCAAACACGCCAATCTTGTCAAGATAACTTTCAATATAAAAATATTATCACTTGCAATTTTTAATCATGTGATAAATTTTCAGCAACACATTTAAATTCAGTGTAAATTAGCCTTCAGTGACCTACTTTTAGATATTTAGGCAAGGCAGAAAACATTGATGGCAGGGTTGTGGTTTTTGGAGGCAAATAAGTGAATACAGGAATATCACATTCAAGTATAACTTACCATTTAACAAAATCCGGAATTTATCAGCTGTGACAGTAAACGTGACTGGTTTGACATTATCTGTATTTGGATCCCTGACTTTTAACCTTAGTTGTACACACGGTTCATCGATACTCTTCAAGTGACTAGAACTTAATATGTAATCAACTCTCCATTCAACAGAGTCCAACTGTGACACTGAAATAAAATGAATAATATGACGAATAAATGTTATTCTTTTGACCAGGGGCCTTGGTGGCTGAGTGGCCTAAGTAGTCCAACTACTGTACCACTAGCCAGTCAACACTGAGGTTGTGAGTTCGAATACCACTCGGGGCAGGTGCACTCGACTCCAATCTTAATTGACTAGGATTGTCAGTTTTCCTCCCAAAGGTCATGCTTCTCTCCGGGCACATCGGCTTCCTCCACCAATAAAAACTGACTGCCACGAAATAGCACAAAATTGTTAAAAGTTGCGTTAAACACCAATAAATCAATCAATCTTTTGACCATGCTTCAAATTTAGGTAACTTTACATCATTTTCATCTCAGTACAATTTCCATCGAACAGATGGTGGATAAATTGAGGTACTTCATTGGCATGTACTGGACCGGTATTCTGTAAATGGGATCCTATTCAAATTATAGGTTTGTTTTAAGGAGACAAAGTATGATTGCCAATGAGACATCTATCCACAGGAAACCAAAGGACAAGGATGAAAAAAACTATAGGGCACTACTGGCACTACTACATGTATAATGCCTTAAATAATGAGCCGCCCCAGTTTTTTGTGGGATTCATGTTGCTCAGTCTTTAGTTTTCTATGTTGTGATTTGTTGTGTCTTAAGGTTTTTTTCTTTTTTACCATGGCACTGTCAGTTTATTTTTCATGTCCTTTGCTGTTGCTGACTAAGGCTTTCTATGTCTTGTTAGATGTACAAGTCTAGGACGTCATTTATCCTGCAAATCATTATATTCGTTTTATGCATTTTATGAGTACATACAGATATTTATACCACAGGTTCCTTCACTCGTCTGTCTGGTTAACAGTGGTGGCCATTTGTCATTAAACTAAGAGTTTGAATATCCCTTTAGTATCGTTTGTCTCCCTTTTATTAATACACCACATTCAAAAGTACCATTGAAAGTTAGCTATTGCATTAAAGATGAGTTCATGTGTCTGTGACTTTACTTTTAGACACTAATTCTAAAATTAAGATTAATTGGGTTACTAATGTCTTTAATTGTTAGACAAATGTTCTATTGAAATATCGGTTTCATATGGAACCTCTGTTTTTTAGTAACAGACAAATTCTCTTGTATACGTTGCTTGGTCTCTGGGGGATAGTTGTCTTATTGGCAATTATATAACACTTTCTTAGAAATTTTATCAATTTACTTTGAACATGTTGAAAACTGAGTTGCATCTAATGTGTTTGTTGGGGTATTTATCATTCTACATTTCAACTATGGATTTTAAAGTGTCAGTCAGATCTCATTATGTTGATCATTTACCAGCGGTCACCATTGAAAGGGTGGAACTTATAAAATAATAATCTGAACCATTGAAAAATGTTTTTAAATTCTATACCTTTTAAAAATATAAATATGTAAATTAGTTTATGACAAAATGCACTGAATTATAGACGTTTAAATTACACTGATTAAGAAACATTTTCCAGATCATTAAAATTTAAGGTAAATGCTGAGAAAACCAAGTGTGGTTCTAAACATTCAAGGATGGAGGAACCCCACCTTTAAATATCTGTGGTGAATCCTGTTTTATCAAGATAAGGAAGATAAATGGTATACTGTAAACGAACTTATTTTTGCGGATACTTTTATTTCGCGTATAGCCCTTCGTAGCCGACTTTGTGTCGATTTTTTTTCACGATTTTTAAATTATTTTGACGTATTTATATAAAGGCAGATAAAAGTGTAACTAATTCGCGAAGATTTATATTTGCGTTATTTTTTAACTCGCGAAAGTCGCGAAAATAAATCGCTCGCGAAAATAAGTTGGTTTACAGTATTTAAACACAGTGTTGAACACTGATTACTTACACCTCAGACTATGTTTTCTCAGTTGAGCCTGTAATTTTTCTAAACTGTCACTGTAGGATTTTGTTAGTGCTGTAGCGTGTTCTGAAAAAAAAAATCACAATTTTCTTAGAAATCCCCAAACTTTCATAGTTCATTACACATGTAATTTAAAATAAGGGTGCCTCTGAGTCCAAGTTTTATCAGTAGTTCAAAATCCTGCTCATGACCAAATTTGTTTCGACTCTGATTTTAATAGACAATAATAAAATGCTCCGGTGGGCGCAGCTTGATACGACCGCAGAGGTCGAACCCTGAACAGTTGGGGAAGTATGGACACAACATTCAAGCTTGATACAGCTCTGAATTTGGATTGTGATTACATAATTGACACAGCATAGGTTTCTGACACAGAATGAATGTGGTCTAAGAACTTAATTTTTTTTAATTTACCTATAATGGTCCAATATCCAAAATCTAAATACATGGTTAGATTCAGCATATCAAAGAATCCAAAGAATTCAATTTTTGATGAAATCAAACGAAGTTTAAATTTGGACCTTTTTGACCTCAATGTGGACCAATTTGATAACGGGTCCCAAAAATCAAAATACATGGTTAGATTCAGCATATCAAAAAACCCCATATATTCAATTTTTGTTGAAATCAAACAAAGTTTAATTTTGGACCCCAACTTGGACCAACTTGAAAACTGGACCCATAATCAAAAATCTAAACACATGTCTAGATTCAGCATATAAAAGAACCCCAAGAATTCAATTTTTGTTAAAATCAAACTAAGTTTAATTTTTGACCCTTTGGTCAATAATGTAGACCAATTTAAAAAACGGGACCCAAAACTAAAAATCGAAATACACGGTTAGATTTGGCATATCAAAGAACCCCAATAATTCAATTTTTGATGAAATAAAACAAAGTTTAATTTTGGAACCTTTTGACCTCAATATGAACCAATTTGATAGTGGGACCTTAATGTAGACCAATTTGAAAACTGGACCCAAAATTAAAAATCTAAATACAGGGTCAGATTTGGCATAACAAACAAATAAATGTGGTCAAAGATTTTACAAATCTAATGCACCATACTGTGCAATTAAAGATTACTTCTTGAAATTTTTCAATATTTGAAATTTAAAAAAAAAAAATATTTGAAGAATAATTCTTTTTAATTTCTGAAATCTGAAATGAGAAAAAATTGACCCCCCACAATTTTTTTTTGAATTGTCTTAATTGTTCATTAACCATTACTTTATACATAGTTTAAAAGCAGTGTAAGGGAGGTAATTCAAATGATGTATTTGATTTATCTCCCTTACACTGCTTTAAATTATGTTTTGTACTAAAGTATTTGTCCATATAAAAATGCTTGTTTTTTGCCCCTTTTATGGCCCCTAATTCCTAAAATTTTGAGGCAATTACCCCCAAAATCAATCCCAGCATTCCCTTTGTGATATGGAACCTTGTGGTACAATGTCAGAGAGATCCATACACTAACACACAAAATATGTCTGGAAGTTACAAAAATGCTTATTTTTGGCCCCTTTTTGGCTCCTAATTCCTTAACTGTTGTTACCAAAACCCCCAAAATCAATCCCAACCTTCCTTTTGTGGTATTGAACCTTATGTTAAAATTTCATAGAGATCCATTCACTTAAACTAAAGTTAGAGTGTGAAAACCAGTGTGTCTTCGGACAACGACGACGACGCCAACGTCATACCAATATACGATCGCAAAATTTTTTTTGCGGTCGTATAAAAATAGCTAGCTGGTCTTGCTTTTCTCTTGAGTACTCAGGCTTTACACCACTGTCCCAGGTTAGGGGAGGGTTGGCACCTTCAAACTAGTTTAACCTTGCCACATTTTGTATGTGCCTGTCCCAAGTAAGGACAGTAATTCAGTGGTTGTCGTTTGTTGCTATATATCATATTTGTTTTCGTTTATTATTTTGTTCATTAATCATGCCGTTAGTTTTCTTGTTTGAATTTTTTACATTTGTCATTTCTGGGCCTATTATGAATATACCTGACTATGTGGGATGAGTTTTGCTCATTGTTGAAGGCTGTAGTTGTTAATTTCTAAGTCATTTGTTTTTTGTGGAGAGTTGTCTCACTGACAATCATACCAATTTTTATATTCCTTATTGGAGATCAGATATGGAATACATCACATAGACAGCTACCCATTCACACAAAAAAAAAAAAAAAACATTTAAAGGACAACTTTCAGACTTCCATAATAGTCTACATTTAGTGTATATACAATATGTGAAGCTTTATATAGCTAAAAAATATTCTTTGTAGAAATAGTTATTTGTTTTTATAGTGATTAAGATTATAACACAACGTTGACTGCTGTACCTTAATTTTTGACAATTTCATCTATGATTAGGTCTGTTTGTTTTGGTCAAACTTTACTGTCAATATAATGGAATTCTATGTGACTGTCATATAAGTGAGTGGTTTAGCTAGCTATAAAACCAGGTTTAATCCACCATTTTCTACATAAAAAGGAAATGCCCATACCAAGTCAGGAATATGACAGTTGTTTTTCCATTCATTTGATGTGTATGAGCTTTGATTTCGCCATTTGATAAAGGACTTTCTGTTTTGAATTTTCCTTGGAATTTCGGTATTTTTGTTATTTTACTTTTTACTTTTCAATAAGTAATGCAAAATTTATATTGGTATGATAAATCGAAAAATTATTATAGGTACATTTCTTATTGAGATTGTGGATCTTTTGACAAAACTGCATGAATATTCAATTAAGATTTCATGTAAACTGGAGGTAAATATTAGGATTAAAATATAGAATGTGACTTCTATTTATTGCAATATAGATCTTTTTGTAGTTTTTGAAATAATGAAAGCATCATACCAATTTTGAATTTTCACTACTCAGGCTATTTAGCAATCTTAAATTTTAGTCTATAGCATGCTGAGTTTAGATGTACAATATAAAATTGATTCCAGAAACAGGTGTCATATGCATTTCAACTAGTAACATATGTTCATGAAAAAGAATAATTTGGAAATAAAAAAATATCAAAAAGATTTTGGATTTGTAGTATTTTGCCTCTAAAAATTGTGTCTTCGGAAAAGATAAGTCATAAGCATCAAAAATGGTATTAATTGTTTACAAAAAAAACAATAGATGTCTAGGTAAAATTTTAAAACAATACCTTTCGGCAGACCTAATTTTTGTAGTTCATTGCTCAGTGATTCACCATCAACATTATACTTGGCAGCAGAACACAAGATAAATGACAATACAGCAACACTGGCTTTTACATCTCTAGTCTCTACAAAACAAATGTTTTATAGCAACCGATGACCAGTTTTACCTCTTTTGAATATCTATGATTTTAAGCTGAAAAAGGCTATTTTCAACATAATGTTTCCTAATAAATAATTAACAGAATGAATATTGTTTTATGATTTTATTAAATATATGCATTTTATTAATGTAATTTAATAACTGATATTTTCATATTCCGTTTCAATCATAATCACATTTACCCCCCTTTTTATGTGGTTTGCATTAGATAAAAAATACCTTTTTGAGGTCATTTTTGAATGCTCACCATAATTGTTTGCGGACACCTGAGTTAAATTCAACCATGAATTCATAAATATCATAGTCTTATCTTTTCAATGATGCGAAAAAGTAATGGGGAAGTAAGTCTCAATATTTTGTTACCATGGATACAAAATGCTTAGTTTTCATTTTTTCAGAAAATCTTTTTTTTGAAAATTTTGAAAAAAAATGTTTTGAAACCTAATTCTGCAGTCAGAAAAAATATGTAGAAAATATTGTAATCATCAAATTTTAAACATATTCATATATAACGGTATTATAGTTTTAACTGTGTTGCTATGGAAACAATTTCATTTTGATACACAAGTTTAAAACAATTTTGAAAAAAAGTTTCAGTTAGTTTCTTAAATGTACACAAAAGTATGAAAACTAAAACACTTATTAAGTTTCACTGTATACACACATGTATATATATAAATGATTTTGCTAGTATAGTATTTCGATAATGGTGTTACCACTTGAAGGAAACAAACACAATTTCTCTATTCTGGATAAAAGTGCTGATCATGAAAAATATACAAGAAAAACAATTACTCAATCTAGAAAAAAACAAATAAAATCATGTAAAAAAATACATATTCAATTGTACAATACTTGCCATTGAATGTGTTGCCATGGAAACAAGTAGTTCATTTGCAAAAATACGGATAAGTACTAATTTTTACAAATGCGTTTTAATGAACTAATATTCCAGGCATTATTAGTGATAGTGTTGCCATAGAAACAACAAATTACATGTATATGCATAAACTTGGAAAACGCTTGAAAATAGACTAAATCTCTCATACAAAAACTCTCTTCTGTAAGTTTTCAATTTAATGCAGTGTCAAAGAATGATGGCTTTTACAAGTCAGTCCATCAACCAGTATTCAAATGCTGTAGTGAAGATTAAAGATCAAAGTGCCACTTGGTGTTGACAGTTTGGAATTTCAAAAAGGTCTGGCAATATGGGTAGGCTGGGATGAAGGCAGACAATTTGAAATATTACTGGAAATCGGGATCAATTGGACAAGGACAGAAATTTCAATAGGTCAACTTGGGTGCCCCTAAAAGAATTAACACAAGGGTTCTTTAGCAAACAAAGAGCGTAACCAACAAGGGCGGGTACTGTCGGCCGTTGACCCGATGGTCCCTGCTATCCATCCGACACTTTTCTTGTTTGCCGTTCTGGCCGGGGAGGAATTTTCGAGATTTTCCAAAAAGATTCGTTTCCCTACGAGGACCCGCGGAAAATCTGTCAGATGATGGCTGCGGGTCTTAAAACGAGCAGTGGGGGGAAATATACCATATGGACAATTTTCATATTACGGGTCCCACTGACTGCCTAAAGTGATGACCCACTACATTTATGCTTCAGTGATTCCATATGTAATCAACCAAATATTTCCAATAAATAAGGAGGGGATGGCCCTCAGGGCCCCTGGATCCGCCTATGGTAGCACTATCTTAACATTAGTATTAGGCATTGGATTATTGAAATTTGAAAAAATAACAATTATCTTAAGTTTATGGATTTTTAGCAGCAAATTAAAAAATATTGACCATAAATTATGCTAACTCTTTAACGTGAAAGGGTAACTTTAAAAGAATTATATACATGTACATATAATTTGATTTTCACTGAACATGCTGAAAGCCCATTACAGAAAGATGTTTCTCAAAATAAGTATATTGTCTTTCTTTTAACAAAAAAAATTAGATTTTACTTTGAAACAGGACTCAATGTTTATAACATATAATACATGTGACTTTTTGTCCTTGACTTTTTGTCTGTGACTTTCTGTTCTATATTCTGACCGTTATCATGACCAGGAAAAATGACTTTATACCTATTTATATGTAATAGGCTTTGCATCAAATTTATAGAAACACTTAGATTGAACCATTAATTTTATCAAATAAGAAAATATAAAATGCTTTTCAAACATATTAGCAAACGATAAATGTATTGACTTTCGAGAACATTTGGCATACCTCAAGTTAAGTCGTTGAATATGTTTACTTATATTTTATTTAAATATTTTAAACTACCAAGACATCGTGCATGCAGGGGCTCGGGCATACCTCAAGTAGTCCGCGAAATGTTTATGTTTTTATGAAAATATTTAAAACTACCTAGATATCCTACACAAGGCTCGGGCATGCCTTAAGTTGTACGTGGATATAATTATTTACTGTTATGAAAATATTAAAAAAAAATTATATTGGATTTATCAACTTACATGTATTTTTGGCCTACTTCACACCTTTTGTGTGTTACTTTATATTTGTGATCAAACGTGTCAAATTATAACCGGTATTATACAACATAATTTACAACACAGTAAAATACAATATACTACTCAATACCATAAAAAGTTTAAATAACCTGGTGCCCGTCACAGTACCCTAAACTGTTTTTCCCAGTTTTTTTTTATTATTTGATAAAGAGTTTACCATTCAATCTTAATGGTTTTTTTTATATTAATTTTAAGCAAATCCTATAAGATATAAATAGGATTAGGTAGTACAACGATCAGGACAAAGTGAACGTTGGTCAGGTCAAGTTTTTTTTTACCCAAAAACATATATTTTCCCCCATTTTTTTAATGATATAAAATAACACAGAAATTTTCATCGGTTAGGTCATTGCTGTTGTTGGTCAGGTCATTGTCAACGTTAGAAGGGTCACGTTTTCGGAATTTTTTAATATTTTTTTCTATATTTTTTCATATAGTTATATATTAAATGATCAAATTTAATTATATTTCAAATTTAACATAAATCCTTTAAGAAATAAAAAAGTAATGAGCATTTTCATTTGGTCCTGTAATTGTCAGCGTTGGTCAGGTCATGTTTTATGAAGATTTAAAAGTTTTCTATATTTTTTCTTATATTTATGTTTTAAATGGACTAAATTTATAGCAATTCAAATTTGACAAAATGTTTAAGAAATAAAAAAGTTATTAGCATTTTCGTTTTGGTCAAGTCATTAGTGTAAAATAGAGAAATGTTGGACACATGTAACAAATACAGTATTTTTACAAATTATGGTATTTTGTTCTTTGAAATTTCTAGATCTCAAAGCATAAACTCAAGTTTCAAACTTTTTATTTGATTTTTATAAATGTTATCTATTTATTTAAATAGTTACCATATTATAATCTAAATTTTAAAACTTTTAAATAGGTAAATAAAATTAAGAATGGAAATGGGGAATATGTCAAAGAGACAACAACCCGACCATAGAGCAGATTACAGCCGAAGGCTTCAGCTGGCCCCTAAATAAAAATGTGTACTAGTTCAGTGAAAATGGACGTCATACTAGACTCCAAAACATATAAATGAACTAAAATAAAAAAAAAACATACAAGACTAACAAAGTCCAGAGACTCCTGACTTGTGACAGGTGCAAAAATGTGGCGGGGTTAAACATGTTTTGTAAGATCTCAACCCTCCCCCTATACCTCTAGCCAATGTAGAATAAACAAATACACAGCAATAAAACATGCTTTTAATACTTCATTCTAAATTTGCTGCTTTATTTCTTATTGCATGCTATGTGTGAGATTCAACTTTGAATTGCCACTTATTTTATATCGTAGACTGTTTTTATGTTATGTTTATTTTCTTTTATATTCTGTCAAAAGCTCCTTTGAGCGTGTATTGTATATTTGAATATATATGCTGAATCAAAACAATTTTTCATATCTTATCATATTTTATTCTTATACAGTATTGATGAGGAAGCAAACAACACCATTGAACCATATTGTCTTGAAAGTTCCTGTTATTTAATCTTTAGTTGTCTATTTAACATTTTAGACTACTGTAAACTTATTGATGATGACAAATAATGGCTACTAAACGTCCAGAGGTCAACAGCAGTATAAACTACGCAACTTCACTGAGTGGAGTATACAAATTAATATCATTAGGATTTTAAAATAACAAGTTTAGGTGTTTGCCTTCCTGTGGCAAGATTCTAGCATACAATTTTCATTAATCCTTCATTACCAAACAGGACACTGCAGTAGATTATTTACATATGTAGCATTTTTTTTTAGAACCAGATAAATACTGGTAATTGATCATGGCCTCATATATATAACCTTACCAAATTTAGCATCAGCTGTTAATTTGTAGACTTTATCATACTGAAAATAAAATTTGAATTAATTTAAAATAAAATCAGGATCACTGCACATTCTAAATTAATTAAATTTCTTTTATTTAAAGCTTTAAACAAGAACATTTTGTTGTTACATTTTTTTTTTAATTTGAATTAATTTGAAAAAAAAAAATTAAATTAGCATCTCTGACATTACCCTATGAAAAGAAGGACAACTCTTATTTGATTTTTAAACTCTTTCAGATTCATACAAATTTAAACCAAGTTTTTTGTGTGTTTAGCCCTTTCAAGTATACATCCCATCATTTTTTTTCATAATTCACTTTTTTGCAATTGATTACCCAACACAAATGTGGTTGCATTGCTGTAAGGAAAATGTACTGTTTTCAGTCTATACATAATGTATTGCAAAATTCAGTACGGGCTTACAGATTATGTTTCTGAAAATGCATCAATAGAATGTGACTTAATTATGCAACTGTTTCAACCAAGTCTGGTGATTGTAAAATCATAAATAAATCAAGCCACAACACATCTTACATCAATTCCAGCATCCAGTAGATCTTTGATGACTTGTACGCAGAGTAATTTGATCTTCACCGATGTCTGTAAATTATTTAAAAAAAAAATAAAATATTATAAAATAATATGAAGATTTACAGTATGACATATTCTAATAATGCAATTTGAAGTTGCAAAACTATTTTGATCTTTTTTCATTCAAATTAAAAAAAAATATATAAATCTGCAACTTTTTGAAATATAAAATTTCAAAGCACAATTGAGATATGGTAAACATTTGGTTTACGTTCATACATCTATTACCTTATAAATAAATTAATGGATAGACATTCATGTTTTCCACCATGAGCAAAATATTGCAGTTTCATTAATATGTAAAGAAGAAAATTGTAACTCAAATTTAAAGATCTCTATTTATCATGGTTATATAGTTATAAACTAAAAACAGCCTGTCTCAGTCGTGACAAGTGTGTTTTTAAAACAAAGACAAAAAACCATCAGTGTACTCCTTGGTATTTTAAAATACAGCAATGCGATTCAAAAAAGCACTGTTTTCCTCGAATGTCATGAATATAGCATCACATTAATAATACATTCTATAACATGTTACTTTTATTAGTTTATTCCCTTAGTTTATTTATTTTGTATTTACATTGTATCATAGATCAAATTTATTTGTTCAGTGTATGTTCACTGGTGTTAATATGTCTTTTGATTGAGTTAAGCCATTTCAATTGATATTTTATAGTGTGTCTTTCTATGTTTTGATGTTACACTATTGTTTCAGATAAGGGTGAAGGTTTGGTACCATTAAAATGTTTAAACCCGCTGCAATTGTTTTCACCTGTCCTAAGTCAGGAATTTGATGTTCAGTAGTTGTCGTTTGTTGATGTGGTTCATAAGTGTTTCTCGTTTTTTATATAGATTAGACCGTTGGTTTTCCCTTTTGAATGGTTTTACACTAGTAATCTTTGGGGCCCTTTATAGCTTGCTGTTCGGTGTGAGCCAAGGCTCCGTGTTGAAGACCCTACTTTGACCTATAATGGTTTACTTTTATAATTTTGACTTGGATGGAGAATTGTCTCATTGGCACTCATACCACATCTTCTTATATCTATAAATAGAAAAAACATATTCATATACATGTATTATAACGTTTCACCAGCCTGAGAACAATGAGGTTGTGAGTTGTAAACAATGAATATTATATAGCAGGTGTCATGGGTGTGCTTATCTGGAATCTTAATTTACAAGGATTTTCAGCTTTCCTGCAAAATGTTGCTTGTTCTCTCCAGCACTCCTGCTTCCTCCACCAATAAAAACCTGATCGCCACATACATGTAATAGGCTATTTAGTGCTGAAAGTGGCATTAAACACCAAACACCAATCAAACAATGATATAGCATCACAATTAAAAATTTGAGATTAGTTGTATACAAAGTAGATATTTGTTTTGGAACAAGCTAAAGAAACCCATGAATTTTTCAAAGAGTTGTTGCAAGCATTATTCAATGCACAAATCAAGAAACAGGACTTGAGAAGTTAAGATAACCATATTACAAAATTAAATGTACATTGATATAACATGTATAAAACATGCACAATTTCTACACTACACGTTTTTACATTAAACAAGAGCACTGATCATGAGACTTAAAGATAATGAATTGTTTTTCAAATGAGACGGTGTTTCTAGGCTATAATCTCTTTCAGATGAGACATAGCCGAGAAACATCCTTGAGTTGGAAAACCCATTAATAATATTGATTGAGATTCATGACCTCATACATTCTCTTTGTACTGGACTGAGCAAAACCCATATCTCTAGCAAACTGTTACATGTATATGCAAAATAATCGTAAAAGACAGTGGCGGATCCAGAAATTTCTGTAAGGGGGGCCCACTGACTGCCTAAGAGGGGGCTCGCTCCAGTCATGCCTAAGTGATTCCCGACATAATCAACCAAATATTTTTCCCACAAAAGAGGGGCCTGGGCAACCTGTCCCCCCCTCCTTAATCGGCCTCTGAATGAAGATCACAGCAAAAGTTAAGAAACTAGTGATACTTAGTTATCTGTAATTATCCATATATCATGTATATAAACAAATCATTTCCTACCTACCACTTTTGATAATGTACTAGTTTTTGCCAGAACCCAATCAGGGCAGTCAAGATCACCACAAAACCTAAATCTCTAAAAAATAAAATAATGACAGTCAATTAAAAATTAAATGATTGAGGAGGTTATATATATAACCAATTATTTTTCATAATAATTGTTTTGATCCTCAATTTGTTTTTTTGGTTTCAACAGTAAAAACATCAGATCTAGATATCAGGACATGAAATCTTAAAATGTTGTTTGAGAAATTGAGATGAACTATTTCATCCCACAAATTTACATTTGTAAAAGCCTTTCACATATATTATAAAGGCACTGGCTACGATCTGGGACTTTTATACTAACAGTTAGTATAATAGTCCAAGCTGCAATTACTTTAAAAACGTAACAATAACAAATTACAAACAGTTATTGTTAGGTTGGACACTAATTGCCGGAATGCTAGGTTGGGTTAGGAACCGATTAATTATGAATGTTACAATACTATCATGACTATTTGTGTCTACGGTTATGTTGTGTTGGTGTTAAGTTAATGCATTTCAATGTATGTTGGGAATAGTAATATAGTATGTCCCATATGTAATACTACCCCGCCACATTCTGTATGTATGTGCTTGTCCCAAGTCAGGAGACTGCAATTCAGTGGTTGTCATTTCTTGCTATGTTACATATTTGTTTTTCGTTCATTATTTTTTACATAAATTAGGCAGTTACTTTTCTCGTTTGAATTGTTTTACATTTGTCATTTCTGGGCCTTTTATAGCTGACTATGCGATATGACCTTTGCTCATTTTTGAAGGCCGTAAAGTGAACTATAGTTGTTAATTTCTGTGTCATTTGGTCTCTTGTGAAGAGTTGTCTCATTGGCACTCATACCACATCTTCTTATATCTATTTGCTCATTGTTGAAGGCCGTAAGGTGACCTGTAATTGTTAATTTCTGTGTCATTTGGTCTCTTGTGAAGAGTTGTCTCATTGGCAATCATACCACATCTTCTTTTTTTATAATACTACATGTATATCAAATACAACTTGAAAACTTTTATTCATTAACAATTCACTAATACAATATTGCATACAGATTATATCATGTATATAATTATTTTATTCACAATAACAGCTTCTGCCCTTTCAGTATGTGTTTTAGTCCACACATTTTTTGGTGGATCCACTCTACATGCTCTAGACAACCATCAATTGATGACGCAATGTGCACAACGGTTTTGCAGACTAAGCAGTTCCACTCTGCAATTTCCATTTTTGAGTTTGCTGCATAATACAACGAGTTCCTTAAACTTGTTCATTTCTATCCATTGTATTATTAGTTGTTAAATATTTTACAGGATCTCTGGGATTTAAATGGATTGAAGAGTTAATCCGATAATACACGTGTAATTTAATTTCCAGTCACTGACCACTGTATTGATTTATGACATTCTTTTTGCGCGAGTGTTTACCTTTATTATCTCTGATCACCATGATAAACTACAGAAAACATGTTCATTGGTCTTGTCATGTGAAACAAGTGGTTCAAGTCATATATTTGTTCCCACATACAAAGCAGACTTTTTATTAGCGTGATCGGGAAAATAACGGCATTTAACTTTTATATATCTGGTGGATGCCAGGCATTAAAACTTTTCCAACTGGACAGGTAAGTCTGTACTCAGAGTAGTTTTTGATGTGGAAATACAGCCATTTTTGTCCATTTGTTATGATGAACCTTAAAGGTAGGAATTATTGTTCTTTTAAGGAAGATATGTAGTTTAGACACATGAAAAAACCATTGAGTACGTCGATAAAAAATCTCCAGTTATGAGACCCAAACTCCAGCTGAAAATTTCCAAATCTCCAGTTGTGGCATGACAACTCTGTCACATGTTTGTATCATTTACTGTTCCTTAATTGATTTTGCGTAAACCAGTCCACACCGGAATACAATATTCATGAACTGGTCCCGAACTCATCCCCTGTAAAAATGGCATGCATTTAGTTAAAAATTAATTATTATGCGTATTTAATAGTTGAACACATCTATTAAACGAATTAACGAATATAAAAAAAAAACAGATGAAAATAAGTGGATTCTAAGGAGCATTATGATAAAAACCAATAGTACCTTCTTTTCTTCTCTATTTCTTTTTTATAAAATACAGTCAAACTATTGTTAGAGATAACTGCATTTTAGAAATTGCAAATTTGTTTTGAAATCTTTATTTCTCTGTAGTTTAAGATTCGCATCCATCTGACTATCCCAAGCCAGGAACCTTGTCACTGGTTGTCTATAGTTGATGGTGTGGATGGGGGTTTACAGAATATACAGAATAATGGACAGAAATGGATGGGGGGGGGGGGGGGGGGGGGGGGCTCCATGATTCTCCAAGCGAATGTGATTGGTATACACAAATTCTACATATTATCTTATTCGTATTTTTTTTTTACTCAGTCAGTCTTGGAACTTAAGTCAGTCAGGCAACTATGTATACTCAATGACATGTTTGCAATTCTCAAGTTAGAAGTACCCACCAAACACAGAACATTTTAGAAACGTTTTTTAAAGGTTTCAAATAAGTTAGTGTCGGAAAAACGTTTAAGAAATGTTTTTAAAAGGTTAAATTGAAACGTTTTCTATAACTATAGTAGAAATGTTTCTGCAAACATTTTTTAAACGTAAAAAAAAACATTTTTTCAAAAATGTTTTTGATGAACATAAATAATACATTTTAAAACAACGTTTTTAAGTTTGTTTTTTAATAATGTTTCAAAAATGTTTTTTAATAAGTATAGAAAAACTTTATAAATCATGTTTCCTATATCACCGCAATATTTTTGTTTTTAATAATTACTTTCAATTTTTAATTTACAAAAAGTCATCTTTGATCTGTCGATATGATGATATGATATGTCAAAAAAAATTCTTGTAGTCTAATAACTGGTTTCTTTTCTGTAGAACCGGGAACCAGTTGTAACTTATTAGTTAGTTTCGTATTATATTTCTATATTTCCCTTTATCGCATTTCTAAAGTAATATCATATTCGAAGATAGACATTTTAATTGAGAAAATGTATTATTTACGACAATAATTTGTATTAAAGCAGAATTCTTCATTAGATAAAATTTGTTCGAAACTTCCGGATACTCTCACCGCCTTTTTTAAATTGGGAAAACAACGAGACATGCTAGAAGAGTAGTTCTACAGAATAGCGTTTAGTCTAAGAGGTATGTATAAAATCAATAAACAGTCGATGAATTTTCTAGAAATTGAGACAAATTACTGCATTATTTTCTCCATGACATTCGTATGATTTGCATGAGTCTATTTACATGATTAACAGATTTAACTACTACAGCACAGGCATAACTTTACATTCACCACTGCATGATGCCATCACGTGTCAATTTCCCATGCCCGGTGTCCTAACACTCCCTGGTGTTGGGGTGGGGATTGTCCTTGTAAATATTGAACTTTGTAAATACGTTAGTGACACATCTCCATTAATCCCGATAGGGAGTGTACACGGATTCGTACCCTCGCAGCTCTCGAGGGTTTCTTCGGATATCGGAGGAATTTACCAGTACATACATACATACATGCCTCATGGGCTACTGGTCTGACTTTTACACGAGTAAAATAAAATTAAGCCTCCGAAGACAGCATAATTAATCATTTAAACTACCCAGAGCGTAGTCAAATAATAATGATGTTTTGTACGGCTTTCTTATTTGATAAAACAAAATGTGGACGCCCTCCTCCAACTTCATAGCAACAGCAAAAATAAAAAATATCCTTTCAAGACGTCATTTTTGTTTGGACTACCCATAGCCGTGCTGGGCCTCATTTTACAAAATATCTTATGTCTGACTAACACTGACTAAAATTGATTGTAACTTGCCAGTCATGAACAATTCAGTATCCGCAAAATGTAACTGCATTTGATACGTTACACGATAGAAACATATTGATAACAGTTAAAAGGTAGTTATAATCAAATGTTATAGTAAATAAAAATATAACGCAAGGGCACCTGACGAGAATGAACGGCCTTGGTCGAACTTGACCTGAAATATGACATCGGAAACACCAGGTGTAATATCATCAAATTAAAGAAATTCATATACGACCAGTGTTGATTACCACGGATCATTTACGTTGGGAAAATCCTTTCAAATAAATAGATGTGTAAAAGTTTATAATGTAACCACAGAACAATCTACCGAGAAAAGGTCAAAGTAGATTTTAACAGTTAAAGATAATATATATTAATTTAAAGTAAATATATATAAGCGAAACATGCTATATATATGAAAAAGAATTAGGCATTAACAAAGCATTTACAGAATAAACCTGTAATTGAAGACAAACATTCAAATGCATATACAATTGCATATAACGTATACACAGCGATACATGAAAAATCATTATAGAAACTCGATAAGACTCGGACAAGAAATAAAATATCTTTTAGGCAATAATATTAGTAGGTTTTGCTAAGATTGGTTCATGGACACGATTATTTATAAAACAAATATTTGATTTCACGAAAAATAAATAACAACAGGACTAAATTGTAATTTTGTAGGTCCAGTATTTGGTGTCACAGGGTGGTCACAGCCCTTCAAACTGTATAGGAAGGATGATGAAAAAGGTGTGGCACTAATCAGTTATGGGCCAAATACAGTCTGAAGGGGCAAATGGGAAAAGAGGCATTCACAGGTCACCCTTTGTGCAGGATAATCATGAGTAAGTTGATTAAGAAAATATGTCGAACATTTAAAAGCAAGTGCCATTAAAATAGATTTGATTTTTTATCTGACTTTAATCTCAAAAAGAATTCATATGATGAATATGAATATAATGTTTCTCACTTATTATTTTAGATAGAAACAGAGTGCAAAGTTACATAAAGTTATTATATATATATATATAAAAGTTTAAGGAAGTTAAAAAAAATATTGAAATATATCTTTTTAACTCTGTAATACTTTTTCAGAAAGTTGTGCAAGAGTGTTCCCAAAATCCAAGGTTGCCGATATGGAGGAGGTCTTAATTCCTAAAACAGGCCCCCACACAAGCCATGAGGACCAAAATATAAGGTATTTTTTCAATTGAATAGAATATCTTAATATACATTTAAGTGGAAGGTTTTATTTATTTAAAAGTTTATTTTTGCAATTTGAATATCTATACAAAAATTTCTGAGTCATTTATAGCAATATGACATTTGCCAACCATGCAGAACTTCTGTTTATTTAGAGACAATAGAATAATACATTGTTATGTTCTTGACGATTGAATTATTGTCTTTATCCTGCAAGTAAAACATTGAGATTTACATGTTTAGCAATTGCTTTTGACACATGTAAATATTATTTATGTTTTTTGCCTATCTTAATAATTACTTGGATTGCAAGAAATAGCATAATTTCCCCTTTATAGATTTAATGAAATAGCTTGATTAAAAGGGAGTACAACAACTAACTGGGGTTAAGAGTTATATGCTAAACAGGGTACTTGGGAGTACTGATCTTGTTAACAAATTGCTTTTGATCATTTCAGAAACCTGTAAGAAAAGGACAGACGATATCGCAAGAAGAATTGGAGTCTGAACAAATAAATCTGTTTAAAAGTACCTTGATTCTACTGATTTTAGTCCTGTCAATACTGTTTTTTTTTGTTGCAAAGTATTTAAAGATGTTTATAAAACTATATTCCAATTTCTGCAACAATTAAAGCTTTGGTTATAAACTAGATCATTGATTGAAGTTATTATGGTAATTTGTCAAATTCTCGGTTTTAGAGATATGTTATCTCCTTGTCAATGCAAGAACCTTATTGAATTGACTTTCAAGGTCACATGACCAAGTTTAAACAGTTAGAGGTTGACAAGCTTTGCTTTGGCATAGTTGTTTTTATAAAGAATATCTTCCTTCAGAGCTTTGGTGTAATGGTGAGTGTGGTCGCCTCAAGTGCGGAGGTCGTGGGTTGGAACTTCGGCCCGGCCAAACCAATGACAATAAAATTATTATTTGTTGCTTCTCCCCAAAATGAGTTAGAGCAAAGACTTCTTGGCCCGTAGTCAGAATAATGTGACATGCCTTCCTGCAAACTTGCCTTGTGGGCTAGAACCAAAAAATCTGGCACATGTTGGTTTATGTCTATGTTGGTCCACCATTTTCTACATAAGAAAATGCCTGTACCAAGTCAGGAATATGACAGTTGTTATCCATTCGTTTGATGTGTTTGAACTTTTGATTTTGCCATTTGATTCTGGACTTTCCTTTTTGAATTTTCCTCGGAGTTCAGTATTTTTGT